CATGTGATATGTATAAACATGCAAATAGGCAGTCTGGCTATTGTTTGTGTTTGCCGTAAAAGCTAAGTCAATATTGATTTTTTTCCGCGTCATGTAATTTCAACACCTGGCCAAAGTTCAAGTTTCTGGCACTTGCACACCTCTAGACAAATTTAGGCGTCTATGTATATCAAGCTTCGAGTCAACTCTGGATGACTGTTATATTGATCTGCGTAAAATTCTTTTGCCACGTGGATACAGTACATCAGCAACAGCAATGCAATGCTTAATAATTCTATCGGAAAAAGTGTTCAAGGTCAAAACGGACCCGTCGGAGCCATAACTTAGGCAGATTTCACTGAATTACGCCGTATCGAGACGGTTATCTCGGAAACTGAATTATGTACGCATAACATGATAGAATCTTTTGATTTAGCATCGGGTTATGCTATGGGTTGTTCTACACAGAAGCGACTTTTTTCCCGCGTTGGGGGCAATTCGAAATCCATGCCCGTTAAGTTCCATCGTTTGCGCAGTAAAAATGCACACTTCGTAAGAGACGCGCTATAAGTCTCTATCCAATTCTTGTTTTCAAAGCTGGCCTTAGAAGTATGAAAAATAATTCTTACAGATTCATTCAGCTGTCACAGTACGATGCACTTACTTGGTACTCACTTCCACAAACATTCATGAACGCCATCAGCTCAGACAAGTGAACTATTTCTTGGTATTACTATTAGTAACTATTGTGTTCTCCTGTTGAATCACCTTCCACAGTATCTAGCCTGCAAAAGACAGGTTATATGCACAGTGTTTTTCCCAGAAAAACCTTCTGCTCTGGATCCCTCCAATTCGCGTTATATTGCCATACCTTTTCACTATATCTAGCGTACCGCTTTTCCTATGCTTTCCATAAGCCTGTTATAAGCCCATAAACTGTAGTTCGCAAGCTTATACGGGTACGTCAACGAAATCTACGATCTAACTCGATTGTTTAAGTCATAGGTTAAGATGCTAGGATAGGAGCAGAGAAACTGAGGTTGACAAATCGTCATTTTCACCACCGTCGTCCGTTCTGTGCATCACTATTTCGTGCGTCTACACCAACCTAGCAGTTTCAATCACTCGCTTGAGAACAAGTCTACCCTACAAGCGGATATCGTCGAAGAAGCCAGTAGCAGTACGTAGGCAGATGAACGAAAGCAGCGGTAACCGCTGGCAGCCACAACGAGTGCAGCGGTAACGCCGAACCATGGCGTATAGTCGTGTAACCCAATTACACAGCTTTCCTGACCCGCCACAGCCACTATACCGTTGTTGAGCAGGGTGTTCGGCACAGCAAGCTACTCAATTAGAATTTAGTGAGAGGCAGACAGAGAAAAGAGGCTTGTCCCTAGCGAGTGAGCCTGCGAACGAATGTTCGTTCGTTGGTGGTTCGTTTTGTCCTTTTAAACGTATGTAAAACCAGCAGCTTATGACAGATAGAAGGGAAAGAGCTAAGCTTTTACGGAGTGCAAAAGTGAAAGCAACGGAAAAATGCATGTAGGCCCCAATTAGGTTGGCTGGGATAAAAAAGCGTCAAGAGCATTGGGACTGTTGTGTATAAGAGTAAAACCAGTCCAGCCCCACTCATATTGGCTGTCTTTTGGTTAGTCGGTGCGTGGCTCGAACACTCAGAATCTCAACGTGCAGGATCCTTGTAGAACCCTCCGGCAGTATGAAACTCCCTAATTCCCCTCTCTCCGTCAATGGGAGCTTGAGCCTGCTGCAGGCAGTGAGCCAAGCAAACTCCAAGCCGCCTCAAGCCTTTCGGCCGCCCAGTTGCTTGCTAACACAGAACGCTCACTGCTTAAACACCCGATTTGTCAACCCGGCTTCTCTTTTTATCCCTCTCCGTATCTTGTCTTTCCGTTCGCAATGTCCCGTGCACCTTCCGCCATTCGAGTCGTCACCCGCATGAAGCTTCCCCTTCTGCCTTAGACACAGTCTTTGCCTTGCTTTGCTCGCGTTGCACAAGGCAAACAAAAACCTTCTGTCCTATTTAGTAACAGGCAACCTGGTGCACTGGTAGACCCGCTGTCTCCACACGAAGGCTTTTTCCTCACCTTGTTATTAGTTCTGCTCATGCACGCAAGGTCTGGTCCGATAGAAAAGGCGCTGATCCAACGCTAAGGCTTGCTCTACGAATTCAGCGTCAGAGAAGCAGCGCGCGCATGCCGGCCCTGTTCCTCCTTGGCCAGGATCCCATCATGGGATCCGCCGGCCGGTTGATACCGATACTTGTTTTAACGGCCCTTATGACGCGAACATACAATGATCCGTACAGCTTCTCAGCTGTTTGAAGGGCTAGAGAGCGCAGATGCTGATGCTAAACACGTGTCAATAATCGATCGATAGGGTTCCGATTGTTTGTACTTTGAAATACACTTAGCAAGGTCCCCTTTCTATTTTCGTGTTTGTTTTCGTAAGTATCTATCGCCTCCGGGTAGTGATTTCGATCTATTCTAGTGATAGTAGGTAGTCACAACATACGAGCTTAGTCTGATTTCTGATCATTTCAACTATATAAGAATGGTCAATGAGCTGAACCAAATTAAGTTTTAAATTTTACTATGTGCTAGCGTTGCCAGATACACTTGAATACCTTTCCGCGAGAGTATTAGAATTTAGTTACATCCAAAGACAACTTTTCTCAAACGGCTGTACTTGATCAATTATAAGCTTACAATGTAATCCTAGCATCGAAATTAAGCATAATAAGCTAAAAAATCAAATAAGCGTAATAATAAATAGAATATGGCGTCACACCTAATCGATGGCGCAGGACACGTGTGGCAAATTTGAAGGTTCAACGGTAAGTATTAAGTACCCAGCGATAGTTATACAAATACGTGTTGTTTTATTGTAAATTCGCTCGCAGATTCCTCAGTAGAGTTCACTACGACGTGGTACTTTCTGCTATCTGAATCGTTATTACCAGTTAATTCTTAATTTATTAAATTAATTAAAGTTTTTGTTTTTTTACAACACCACACAGAAACCTAAACAAAATGTGAAACATAGAAATAATTAAAGAGCATCTCATATTTTTAAATTTATGAGTCACTAGCGTCCCCCGACAATAATTTAGGGGCAAAAAAAGAGTTCGCATCTAAAGTCCGGATTTCTAAATGGAATCCGATGCAAACGAGCTGCTAGTAGATATTTCGACGAAAATACATAACGTTCAGATGGGTATATTTCGACATAACGATTCATATAAACGAATAAAAAAACTTAATAAAATTGTAAGGCGGGTAATCCAAACAAAAGAAATTAATTAGACTTTAAACCGATTTAAGAATTACTATCTTGAGAACCTAGCAGCTGCGACGGATATCACTACCATAAAACTATAAGCAGCGAAAGCTATCTGGAGCGAAGTGATCAGACAAATTTTTCTAACACATGAGGGATTTAATTTTCTTATGATAAGAACACAGAAGTTCATCGCCATTTGAAACATAGACCTAACCCAGTTTTAAGTTAAATAGTAATGTATAAACTGCATTTAGAAAAAATAAAATGCGTTTCCAAAGTAATATATATACTATTACAATCGGATAACTTTCGTAAAGAGACACACATTTGATCTTGAACACGTTTATTTGTTGCCTAACGTTTAGATAAACGCAGATTTTGATAAAACTTCAAAAGTTCGCGCATCGAGAAGTAGCCGATTATGACATCCACGTTTCCGCCCCGCTATCACCAAGTAGACTGTCCAAACTGGCGGGACAGCTTATTAGTACAATTTTCCTACACGTACAAATTGAGTTCATTATTTAAATAAAGCTTTAAAGTATACACGCAGTATCATGAAACCGGTTGTATCATTTGACTAAAAACATTCTTTTCACACATCCAGTTAACTTGCATCGTCTATCTTTTTTATATTATCGATGATGATCACATTTCAAGAGCGGAACGCCCAAGGCATTCCACGGATGAGGCTTCAATTTGACTGGGGGCCTGCACGACAAAACAGAGGAAAAGAAAGCGAGAAGTAATCTTGGCGTTCACGTTCCTCGCTCGTAGGATCGCGGGGTTCCTGTTATTATTGTGGTGAAAGACAAGAAAAAACGGGTTGAAACTTTTCCATCCGCGGAGCAACGCAAACAATCTCGATGTTGGAGTTTCATTGCCGTGGACCTCACAGAATTCCCTGTTAAGAACCCAGAACATGATAACACCATAACAACGTAGAAAGAGATAAACCCGCCAGCCGGCAGCAGCAAAGCTACTGTGATAAACAAACAAGCAAACGCGGTTTGGTAGCGAAACTGGGTCACGTTCCGCTGAATTTGCGGTAATCTTTCGATTTCTACTGGAGATGATAACGATTTTGCTGCTCATTCGATAGAGTAACCAGCTGAGCACACCAGTTCAGCGCACGGCTTAAAGCCAGCAAACTTGTTGGCTAAGCAAAACACTAGTCACACGAGTATTAAGACTGGCCTAAGTGTATTCCGTAACTATATGTAGCACTTACTGAAAGATATTTCAATTAACGGGTCCAACACGCAGCACCGATAGTAGGTCACCGATACAATTACAAAATTAGAAAGAAATGGATGCATTTGTTAGTTAGTATATAAGAAGGTATAATGTAACGTAAAATTTGAGTCCTTCCATACCGAGCGTGCTTTAAGTAACGATTATGAACAGTTAGTGCCAAGCAAGATAGACCCGTATATGCCTATACGTTTCAGATAGTAGGTTCCCTACCACCCTGTTTATTATCGAACAGCAATTTAGCTATTTATTTAAATAGACCATCATATACATATACCGTACAACATTATCCAGCTTTTATTGCAACATTAGATGACATACATTTATTGACATTTTTTAAATACTAATCGAACAGAACGATCTCATAAGCATTGCTTATATAATATCGGTACAAAATCAAACATGTTGTTTGTTTTGGCGCCTCATCAGCCGCTGACCTAGCAGTGAAAACGTGCTTGCCCGTAAAGCGTCTGCTATAATTGTTCTTAACCTAGCAAGGTTACTGATAGAGAAAAAAATCAGCAAGATCTTTTGTTCCTCTTGTTAGAGCATCTAACATGGCAATGCATCAGCGTTCGGTCTTTACCCCACCCCCCTTTTTGCACATCTATCAGTCGCCACGAAATGCAAAAACTACGAACGTAATGGTGCTAGTTGAATGGTCGTACACTGTGGGCTACTATGGTCCTATTAGTTTTGCTGGCCTACTCGTCCTCCTGGAGTGCTGTTACTGACGTTAACCAACTTGATAGTTACTTGTAAAAAAAAGTTCCAGCCTAGCGGAAGTAAAGGGCTGGATGAGACGCACAAAACGTACGTCAATGTCGCGACGGCATTGCAATAGCCAACCAGAATCCTCTAACTAATGTACCATGCCAGACCAAATATGTTGTTCACGTTCAAACATCGCTTGCGAATACTTGATTGATTGCCATAACCCACCAATTAATTAGGAAAGCGTCTTTAGTTGTTTAGTTATAGGAATCTTTTTTCCTATACAAAAGAGAAAGAAGTACGAGAAAAGATTTGTCAAACGTGTGCATTCTGCGCAAGATGTGGAAAAAACTTTTATAGTTGGCACAGATTTGGATTTTTAAGAATATATCGAAATGTATTTACTTGTTCTTCCCTATGAGGTCAAATACGATGTTTTCTTCAGAAAGCGATTAGGTATTTTTAAAGGATATCAATATTCTATGTAGAAATATCTGAGTCAGAATAACCGAGTGATCGAAATAACGTAACGGAGCGGCATAAACAATTCAGAGCTTTAATTGAACGGCTGATGGATGAACCAAAACAAGGAAACCCTAAAGGGGATCACATAACGATAGCTGCGACGCTCTGAAAGGAATAATGCAGTAGGACGGTAAAATGACTGGTATCGCGTGTGTTTTCAAAACACAGGTTCAAGCCAAACGGGTGAGCTCGCTTTAAATTCTAATTGAAAAGGTATCGGACCAGTGTGCTTTGCAAAATATCAATGAGTAAGGTAACGAATTTAGTTATTCGTAGGAAAAAACGACCAGATGTTGTACATTTCCCGTGTTATTCCCTACCGTACAGATTAACGCACGATTTAACCATCAGCTGCTGATAGCAGCCAAAATGAACTACAGATTCACGTTTAAGAAATTAAGTAGGCAAACCAATAATTGCTAAATGTTACTGCTATATTCGTAAGCCAACTAGATACAACAGATGAAATTTCAACATCTAAATGTAGACAATGATTAAGAATTTTCTCTGCTTCTACAGAAGGGACCGTGACGAGTGTACTTATCTACTTTCATCTTACCACTACAGATCGAACCTTCTACAGCTGAGCACATTGTACATATATTATAATATGTACGACAGATTCATTACCCTTCAATCCGTACTGTACTTATGTACATGCCTTCGCCAATAGCAAGAACTACGGAGCAACTGGTGAGAGAAGGCTGGAAAGTGTGTTTTGCACTGTTGGAAACTCTGCTAGACGTATAAACTGTGATTTTTATTTACACACAGCCTGAGTGCAAACTTGTGTTGCCTTGTAGGTATTGGATAGCGCGTAACACAAATCCGTGACGATATCGAAGACGTTTTTATTAGATGTTTTTAATATCCTTTTAGATATATTCAGCAAAAGCATTTATTATAATTTCTTTCCAACGGTGTTATACGGTACAGGCATCGGATCAAATATGCTAGCTAACTTAGATATAATATTTAATGGGGGTAAATATGGTTTTCTACTAGCTTTGACAATGAAGAAAAATCGGATAGAACAACTTTTACGGAGAATTAATAAAAAGACCTCAGTGCCATTCGTTAGTGCTGAGAATGTACGGTATTAAATATATTTGTATAAGGATCGAAACACTCAAAAATATGTCAGTATCTAATATGAAATTAAGGGAGAGAGTTTCTATTAATACAAGATGATGTTCTTCGTTTACAGGATTCTCCAGAACGAAAGCGGCATTGTAAGCTTTGAACGAGTTGCATAATTCGCCGTAGCAGCACCATCGAGAGCCTTAACGTAAAATAAACGCGTCCGAAAGTTACTGTAAGGTGTTTGAAAAGAAGTTACCATTTTAGAGAAACGCATACTGCTTCGGATATTAGTGAAAAGTGCGGATTGATAGAAAAATTGTCTGACACGCTCGTTTTCTGAAACAGAGTCGAGTCGATCTTGGAATTACAGATTCGGAGATGGCTGCGTGAGCCCAATGCGCTCCTCTTTACACCAGATACGATGCGACAGCAGTCTTCCGCTGAATCTTAATTAGTCGGCTAGTAGCTATTTTGTTTCTTAGAATTTTTACGGTATGTTTTATTTCTGCATTCACTTGCCTACCAAATCAGAGAACATCATTTTACATGTCTTGCGATATCTTAGGCACAAGGCCAGTAAGTCGGAAAACCCCAAACATAAACGTGCAGATAACGTCAGTGTATCGAACCCGCGATTCATCCTCGCCTGATGCATCCCATTGAGATTTGTGCACCTATTCTTGCTTAGAAGGCCGAACTAGTACTGACTATCACTCAGATCGAATGCCAGTAACCTGAAGCCTACTTCTGTGTTTGTCTATACATTCTTTTGTTCGCAGAATCGACTGACCGGTTCCTGTCTGCCGGAACACCTCGTGTATTCGGATTGAATCAGACAGTGCATAAAATGTTTCTCATCACAGGCAGAAAAACACATAGACAAAGCCACGCTTAACCACAAATCTTCTTACGCGTGGCCCGTGGCCGGAATGCGCTCGACTTGCCTCTGCTTCTGTGAGAGGGCAAGGAAGTCACTTGTGTTTGGCCCAGTTTGCTGGACCTTAATTAACTGTTGCGAGAAATAAGCCACTCAGTGGAGCAATACTCTTCGTAACAATTTGTATCAGTGCTCGTGCGGTCCACAAACTAGTTACCGATGCTGATTGCATAACGGTGCGAACCCATTGTTCAAGTTCGTTGAATACACGCGACCTCTCTGCGCATCGCTTGATATGCCGTATGCATTACTTACGGAAGCTGAAAAATTTTGTAAGCAGGAGTGAAAACCCAACACGTTATGCTAGCAGCCTGTGTGCAGTGTTGCTAGTTGCTCGAATGGCAGTTCGATTCAAGCGCACGTGTCTAAGAGAGGGTTGGCTGCGAGTAAATTTAGATTGTTTCCCCCGTATATTTTATAGTGGCAGTTCCAGCGATATTCAATGTTAGCCCATTACACGTTAGAGGTATATATCGTTGGGATGATCGAAACGTTGTGTATGTATGTTGATACTTCGTTCTATGCTCATATCATAATTTAGTTTATGTACCCGTATTTTAATAACCTAAGCCTATAGTAATTTTCTTCTTCAACTTTACGGAACATTTTTCGCTTTCACTGTGCATATCTCTAATAAGGCGATGCATATCTTCAGCATTCTTCTGACCGGTTCCACCTCATTCATTACCCTGCAGCTATGGCACCCTCCGTGAAGGCACCCGTCCCATGCTCTTATACCTACACGTTCATATTAATTAACAGGCGTGCCTGTCCTTCCTCGCTTTCTCTTTCTCAACCTCGTCGTTGCCAATGGCTGGCCGTCCTTTAGAACCTGTGATATGCGACACCAAAGGGCCAATAACATGCTGTGAGTGTGCCAGCCTGCTGGTCCTGATTCTACCATCATCGACTACGGAAGCAGGAGCTAAAGCCGTGAGCGATTCCTTCCTGCAAAATAATCTCACTGATGACACAACCTCCCGTCCCGACACCCCTTAGCCGAGCCACCTTGTCCTCTTCTGTGTTTGTTGCAGATTAAGTTCAGGATAGCGGTATCGAGCCAAAATAGTGTCTACGGAGTTTGACTCGATTCTTTTGCAACATGTCTGTTGGAGCTTCTTGGAAAAACCCCCGAGACAACTGTACACAAGAAATACCTACGTGTTGTGGTATCCTATGCAATACATACGTTTACGCAGACGTTAAAGTTCTTTAAAACAACGGCGTTTCATTAGAAGGGCTGATCATTTTTTGAACGTATAACCCTTGAAGATACATTATATACATATATGATTTATTCCGTACAGACTCTACAACTACATTCTTCGACGAGCAGAACGAAAATTAATATAATTATAGGACAGCTATTGAGTTCGTATTCTGTAGTAGAATCTGTGTGTGTGTGATTTTCGCATTTCTGTAGTTAATTCTGGTTAGCAGGTCTTTCTGCAGTGTTTTTCTATATAAATCATCTTAGAACATCAAGTTATATTCGTCAGATCTAATGCCCTTCCGGCTACATCGTGAATGTGTTTAAACGGCTTTCCGGTAAGCCTGAAGACTGTTAAATTGTGTTTTTTTCTCGTCTATATTCATAAGGCTTTTTTTAACTAAAGCCGTCTTACCGCTACGTTGCGGTACTGTGTTACAATATTTTAATCCTAAGTCTGTGTTATGTTTCCCCCAGTTGAGTTACATTTGGAGATCACTGTAACTTTGGCTTTCATTTTCGATCGCTAAAGCCTAATCATCGGCGCTAAATGTCGTGAAGCGAGTGCATAGTTTGAGCTTTGACCGTTGTAGCGTAATCGATTTTCCCTTATTATTTTAGCGTCTCCGAACTGTTTGGTCAGGGTTTTTCTCTGACCGATCGTTATCAACACCATATAGAAAACGAGCTAGGCACTTGTTGGGGTCATTTACGGTTTGCGGTTGCTGAGGCGCATGAATTTTCCTAACTTTGAATACCTCAAGGTCATTTGCAAAAAGAGAGCACAAAATTATTTAGCTAACATTTTTATCATTTGTTCATCACCGGACATGCTAGTATTTAGGCAGGGCACTCATTATTTTACAATACTTCTATTGCGATGGTCCCAAATGAACGCCTTCACATCTCGCTTTTCAGCAACGACCTTAAATTCCGCAAGACTAGAGAAAGTTTGGTTATACGACCCTGTAGAGAATCCCATCTCCGTGTCAATTCTCTATGCGCTGTCTGAAGTATTCCTTCAGTGATGAGATCCGCACGTCCACATGCTTTTTTTTTGATACCAAAAATCTACGCTTGTTGTTGATTTACGTTGACCTTCGTTTTTATTTATTCTACCTATTTCGCCCCGTCCATTTTTTTTTTCGTGTCATTAGTCATTTGAAAATTCGGTGCTTCTTTATGTAATTAGGTTCTTAAAAGAAAGTTGCACTGAGCCTTTGGCGATGTTGTACCGCGGAATGATAGCGGATGCATGCTTTAATACGGTCAGTGGAGGTGCCATCCTTGCTTGTCTCCGTAGCGTGCTCGGAACAAATCATTCACTGAGTTTCATTTTAGTCACTAAGACGATATAGGATGCATAAGCCCGCTTACGAATTTATTGTGAGCTGAAAAAGCTAACTTAAATCTAATTTGTAAGTATAACTCTAATCTACTATTATACGCATAATGTGTACACTGATATCAAGTGGGTAGATAAATTAGTTGCGCTTTTTGAGGTCCGGAACTTGCGATATGTGCAATAGAGCATAATTCAACGAAATCATATAAATTATGTAAATAAATAATACTATTCTGATCATAAATCAGTACTCTGTCGTAGATATATTAAATGTGAAGTTTTTTTTTTTCAATCAAACCCTTTCCTATATCTGACATCTTATAAGATGTCATTAAAAACGTCTCTGAAGGATGAAATTTTCGAGGAAATGGTAGAAGCATCAGCGCCAATAATTCTTCGCATTTGCTTCTTTTTTGCCATAGAATAACTCTAGGGTATCATATCCCAATAATATTTATTAAAATATAAGTTTTCCTTCTGCATTTTTCACTACTGATTTAGAGGAACATGTAAAATTTGGTCCACGTGTTTCCAGGTACTAGTCACTTTTTCTGTCTTTTGTCTTTGATTTTCCGCACGTACGAAGTACGCTGACTTATTTGACTGAGATTTGGGCTTTTTTCGGGTAGTTATCTCTTTGCTAATGAATCCAATATTAGCAAAGTCATCTTGCTAGATTCTGTTAAAAGGCAATTTGGTTGGTTAACTGAACTCGCCGATTTACGTTGCTGCCTCACGACGCTACATACTTAAATTTTAATAAGTGTATGTGCATGCAAAAATGTATGTGGAACGTCACGTGCTTGTTATATATTTAAATTGCAAAATCAAATTATTTATAGAATTCTAATATATTCGCATTATAGGAAGGCGATGCTGTGAGCAGTCAACTTACATGAAGTTAATTTTGAGATTAACTATATCCTTCCGCATTTCTACATCGCTTTTATCTCTTATACGACCGTTTCGTTTGTAAAAGAAAAGTATGTCTTAAACCTTAAATTGAAATTTAGAACTTCTAAGTTTAAATTACCTTTGCAATTCAGTACAATGAAAGTTACCAGTGCATGCAATCACTATTGCATGTATACAACAGTATTTACAGAGGGTATATCACATAATCATTGTGCTGGCTGGCTGGCTGGCTAAGCGAAAATAAGATACAAGGGAGAATATACTTTTACGTGAGGGCATACGCTAGGGTATTGATTAAAAAATAAACCCAACGTTTTAATTTATTAGGTGTTATCTCGTAGATGCTAGCGACTAATGGCCGACCATCGTAGACGAGTCTGGGTATACTCTGACGTGTGACTTCGTTTTAACCTGTTGATATTGAGTGAGGCGGCAGCCATCGTAGCGCACATAACCGATGACGTCCTCATTAGCTGACAAACATCTCATAGGACCAACGATCCTTCACGCTATGTGCGACTAAACAGAAAACAGAAAATGTCGGATCAAATCGAAATTTATTTGTCCTCATTAAAGGTCACCCGCACGTACTACATCTCGAGAAAAGCTTAACATAGGTAAGTAGTTTATTATGAAAGATCCTTAATTACTATTTGTTTAACCCTAATCATGCATTTTGCCATTTATATTTTTTTGCCTTAGCAATTATACACAAAGTTGAATAATAATTTAATCAATTATTTTTAGTTAACAGACCGACAAGAAATTTCTTATTCAATTAATAGTGTATCTACCATAGTGCGTATACATAATATTTCGTAACTTGTTCTATAATGACGATTTCCACCGTAGCTGAAACGAGTCATATATCGACCCTGATTGTTATACCGCCTAAGCTAGAGTTGTCAAGGGATACGAACGAAGTTATTTTTCAAGATAACGTTACCTATTTAGTTATACATAATTGATTAATAAGATCGCTCGTTCAAAAACAGTATAAACGCAATAAACAGTTTCACACTAACTACGGCCTATCCTGTGCGAATATCAAGTGTCGCAGCATACCCCACAGTTAACGATTCCAAAGGGAAAAAGAAGAGGGAAACAGGGCAAGTCGTCTTTGCTTACTACAGTCGTTTACGAAGCACAGGCCAGCGTACCTGTCAAATCCGGCAATAAAGGTGTTGTCTGTATGCTGTCAGAAATACCCCTTCGCCTTCGTTTTGTGTATGCACTTCTTACTAAGCTGACAATTCGGCACGACGTGTATCATGTGTCGGAGACAGAGCTGCCGCGTGCAGGCGTATACGGAAGTCAGCTATCTTATTGTGATCTGCATAGCGTTACCGTCTTCACGTGTCAGCTACCTGTGAGTGCGACAAAGATTAGGTTGGAAAATTCCAAGCAGAAAAAGAATCAGATGTGAGGGCAATTCTGCAAAACTAGAGAATAGTCCCGGAGCTGTGTGATCATGTGTATGTACAGCCTACGCGTGCTTTCTTTATCTATATACAATTGGATATGTTTATTCAACGACAACTAATGCATCATAATGGCAGGATTAATGCCGTTAGTGTGTCCGCGAAAAGCAATAGGTTGATACAATTGGTTGAAGCTTAGGACGCGAGTCTTTTGGCTTAAATTTGCAAAAACGCCTGTAAATCGTGCAGTCTCGTACTTTTATGAAAATACGGCAAACCAAGTTTTCCGTAGACGAAAGCCACAACAAGCTATTCCAATACATTGTTTGTAGTCATATTGGCTACTTACAAGTTTACCTTGCTTTATATTGTTTATATATATATATATAAACAATATATGGCTTTACGCATACTTTCGGTGCGAGTTTGGAAACGCGCAATCACCGCATTACAAATTAGATCTTCAAAGGGATGTCGAACGTAACACCATTACCGTTAGCTCTACACGATTTTCGCTTATTTTCCCACACGCAGTAAAGACTTCGACAGGAGAACTGGCTGGAGGTATAAATTAAGTTTTTTTTAGACCCACGTCATTATCAGAATCACCACGTATTGCCGTGCGCTGAACAGGTAAATACAATACACCACGGTTGGCGGGCGCTTTTCGATGCACGATACCAGCGAGTCGACCAGCTCTAGTATCGTTTAGTTTCTCTCATCGCCAATCCCCATCTCATTTCTGTCGCAACGTCAGCCCGTGAGTCGACGCTTTTTCTTTTCGAGAACGAAATAATCAGTCGATTGGTTTTTGTATTCGCTCAGTCACTGGCACCGTTCCGAATAGGTTCATTCAGATGAACGGTCCCTTAGGGAGCTGCGAATACTGCCGGTTCCTTCTTCAAAGACGATTTCGTCGTCGCTGAAGTTTTAGTGCAGAACGGCGCCAAGGGCAGCAGAAAAAGCTTCATCGATGGCAATGAATGAATTAATTAATTACGTGTGCTTAGTCCGTCTCAGTTATCGCCACGATATGATCCATATATCTAGCAAGCCTTCCTTGTGGGGAAGCAAAGTCGCGCAAGGACCGACTTAGAGATCGAAACTTCAACGATTTCAGCAGAGGCTTTGCCGCGAATTTTTATGCTAATAAATCTTAGCAAAAGAACTTGGAGATTTTTATAAAATCTTAGATCAGATCAAAGATTTCATGAACTGGCGGTGATAACAGCTGCAACGTCGGCTGAGAAGAAACACCAGCTGCACCAGTAGAGGTAGCGACAGGAAAGGCTTTGAAGGCAACGAAGAGTTAGCGTAAACCAATCGGGGAGAGGCCAGTCGTAGAATAAGTTTAGACTGAGAGGTACTTAACCTGAAATTGTTTTTGCTGAACACGGCCACAGAACGCCGCTGATGAGCGCTGTCCAGGCCAAACTCAAAATAGAAATAGAAAGAAAAAGAGGTAGAAACATGATAATATCAGGGGCGTGGTTCAAATACAGAGATCGAGTAAGTGTCAAGGAACGTAGCTGCTGAAACCCCAGAAGGACATGATATGAACGTTTACGTTGAGTTTATTCATTTCGTGTAAATGGTGGCGGGGCGAAACGAGGAGATAGGCTAGTACAAAATGACCGAAATGAAGACGTGTTTCTATGTCGGGCTAGTCTAGAAAGAGAGAGAAGAGGTTAAAAAGAAGCTGTAAGCATACAAAATTGAATCATACTTTACGTTGCTTGCAAAATTATGGCTAACTACCTGGGAAATGAACACTTAGTCGGAAGCAGGGTTTGTAAGTGTCTATTGTATTCGTTCGCATTTCCGCAATCGTTTGTTGACGAATTATAATCAGCTGGCTGTCAAACGCTAAAAGTAAACTGTCGGCACTATATCGTATCACATGGATCTTCAGTCGTAGGAAACCTAAGCAGCCTTCAATGGGCAGGTATCGATGCACTTCACTGAATAAACAACTAAGTCCTTCAGCAGATATAACATTTAATAGAATACGCGTTTTTCGAAAGCCAGCCCAATACACTGAGCATGCTTTCCAAATATAAATCAATTCAAATCTCATACATTTGATGGCGTGTTAGTTAGGTATAAAAGTCATCCAAGTAGGCAAGCGAAAAGCGTCAAACGCACATAAATATGAAATAGATTTACACTTTCTCTTTACTTTACAAAGGTCTATTATTAGAACAATGTGACCAAACGAATCTACAGCTGGTCTGCGTTTCGCCAACCCATGTCGTTAAAAAGACTCTATTGAAACATTTCAAGAATGATTCATGGTGTAAAATAGAACCGACCGTATTTAGAATAATATGTATAGTTCTTACCTACAACTATATTCGCCAGAGAACATGGCTGTAGATAAGTGTTAAGCAAAAACCGAAAGCGAAATAAGAAAGTAAAGTAAAGACCGTTTTCATCTCACTCTTCAATTCGTAGCTTCTACCTGGAATGCTTGCCGGTACTCAACAACGTCAGGCGCGCTAACTGCCTCTGTACATATTGTATGTTTCGAGTCATAGCAATTGTACTGTTCTTAGATATTGTATGTATTTTCCACTAGCAACAAGCGACGACGAAAAACGTACCCAAGAGGGCGCATTGTTTGAACAGGCACATGTGCCCTTGTCGGCTTTACAGAAAGGCAGCAATCTCAAGGAATGTAGCGTAAAATCCCGTTCTGACCTCCTCCTTCGCTCTGCTCACGTCATAGGCGACGGATCCCTTTTGAGATGATGCTGTCATATACTCCGGTGTCCTATACTCGGATATCTTATGTTTGCCTTTGTGGAATTCGTGCCAAGCAAATATGACTGTCCCGTTACTTTCAGTAGCAGAAACAGCAGTAGGCAGCTGAAATGGAGCGTGCAGATTTCAGTCTCTATTGAAGTAGCAAATATAATGGAATGGGTGGGTGGGGTGGAGGACTGACAAAGAAGACGGTTGACTATCAACAGAGGGGTTCTGCGTGAAGGAACTCGCTTGAAAAATTCTCAAAGCAGCTTCGCTCCAGGCCTGAGTTTGCCTGAAGGCCTTACTAAATCTACTGGACTATTGAAGTGAATAAATCATATATTCCAAGAAATCAGTTTGCCATAGACGAACTATATTCATTTTAAACTCAGATAACAAACAACACGGTTGAAGCTCGTGGCTAGAAAATATGTCCGTGTCGTTACGTAAACGTCAGGTTATCGTATGAAAATAATGCTGCTTGACTGTATGAAAAATTAAGAGCACATAGTAAATTTTGAGAATCTGCAATTGAGTTCGAATACGAGACAACCATGTCACACGGTATTATCTTTGGGAGCAAAAAAAGAAGCGCTTTCGACTTTTATATTTCAAAGATACTATCAGTTATATATGATGCATAGTGTACTCTAGGTAGAGTTATAAATTGATATGACAAACTACCTATGCATTTCCCAGCCGATGGATAGTATATGCATTAATCAATATTTTGCAATAAACTATCTGCCATTGAATGGCTATAGGGCTACACAAGTATCAGAAATTGTTCAGGATCTAAATGTCCTGTTGCCTAGAATCTCGATCGGAACACATTTTTTTAATGGCTAGCCGAAGCGAAGGTATTTAATTATGGTTCATTGCAGAGTGATATATACGTATCAAAATCGAATCATACGGTTCATACTGGCCAGAACCAACGCTTCTTCCAGCTGGGCTGAATTGAAAGTAAAGACAGAAAATAGATCTACTGGATAGAGGGTTTCTTAAAACTTGGTGCCAACAAGATCTCGTAGCGAAGGTCCATAGACATAGCAGCGCATTCCCGTTTGCTCATTTATGTCAGCTCAATGAGCGTTAGCTGCAAGTAGCAGTTTGAAGATTGTCCCGCTAACGATTCTCTGCCTACGGCCTTTCGTTCGCCGGTCTAGGACACGCTCAGATGGTAGACGGTAGCCTGTCAAAACAAAGTAATTTGTTATAAATTCCTGCGTACATTCTTTCTGGGTCTCACTTCGGATACGGCAGACCGAAACTCTCTGGAATTTCAAAACACCGTGTGCATTTATAGGTGCCAGTAGTCGACGCTATGATCAAGTCAGTCTATGGGTTCTATCGTCGGAAGATTGAACTGTTTTAATTCTTGCGAACCAAAACAAAGAACGCACAGATACTAACTTTATTGCAAGTTTAGTTACATAGACATTGCATGATGTATGAGCGCTAAATACTTTGAATAATTTTTTTTGGCATTTTCAGAATGTTCGGTATTTATAACAATTTTTTTTTTTACCAATTTAACACAAATACGGTTTTATCCCTTAAAAATTTCTGCGCTTTGCAGCGCGTTTTGGTGCATATATAGGTACATACGTATTCAACATATCGTTTCTTCTGAACATTCTTTTAAACTATAGCTTTCGTTCGTTAATTTGGACCAAAAGTGCTAAAGCTACGCGACAAAACGCCAATTATCATCCCGATGTTGAAATGACAAGAAAGTCATTACTATCAGTAAGGATGTTCGCGTCACATATGTCATGTATTTCACAACGAAAACAAAACTTTGAGTCGTCTGTTTGTTAGTTTATTAGACCTTGAAAGACACAAATCACACCCATTTTCCATGGCAAACCATCGCTAGCCGACGGTTATGGCAAACACCGGAAACATTCCTATAAACAATCATCACAAGATAATCAATATCTGACAGTACACTTGTCGCTTGCTTGAAACAAAACAACAATGGTATCTTTTTGGTTGCAAATAAATAATGAACGAGCTTACTGTTGCCACACGGAGTACAACACATTTCGACAAATCATCGTCGCCGTTACCCCATAACAGTGTCTTTCTACCAGCTTACATGCCTCTTGATCGCTATACGTCTTTCGATGTTTGAGAAAGAATTTTTTTTTGAAAAAATCTGATCCGGATCAGTTGTCGCTGGTGTTGTGGTTGGCCTGCACAGCTGCAATAGGCAGCCCACAGCCTAAGCGTTAGCATCAACTGGTAACCGTTGATCCAATCTGCAAATGGAACAGGCATCGCCTTCGTCAGTTGCCAGCCCATATATATGCTATACGGAGCAAACGCTACCGAGTTGGTTACTTCACAGTCGCACAATCGAAAGATATAGAGGAAGAAAAGAACGAGACAGAAAGATCGGAAGCTTCCGGCCTTCACAAGGACGTTGTGAGAACCTGCAAGAAACGGGTCATAAATTCTCCAGAGAAGCTACTGTGTGGCGATACTTACGGTTTTTCTTTATAAATAAAAGATAAAAGGGAAAAGTCCCTCCGTTCCATTTTTCCGTTCCATCGTCATTCATGAATAGCTTACTCTAAGCCGCTGAACTAAGCGTTATAACACTGGCAGTCTAGCAACTTGAATAGACGGAAGTATCTGCAACCAAATGGAAAAATGCTGTTTTCGATATTTTGTTAAGGCTTTATATATAAGGTTTATATATAATCGTAATATTTTCTGAAGTCTAATTCGTATTAAGTGCACCACATCGGGGTACATCAGATAAATAATGGTCAATATTCTATTGACGACTGTATACTAGGTTGCATGTTAAATGAATAGAGATCTATTTTCTATGTAGCCTTAAACAACGAGTAAGCGTTAGCAAATGGATCAGTGCCTTTCGCCATATTTTATTGAAACAACAAAATTTACTAGCTCGCGCAACGATTCGGTCGATTCTGCTCGACAGAAACAGCAGATAAAAAAATTCGATACAAATATAAGAACGATGCGCCGGTATTCTAAGGATTTTTATCGAGGCTGTTGTTTTGGTATCACTATTTTTTCCATATCATTCTCCAAGTGTCCACCACTTCAAAGTAGTAACTTTATCATCACGGCGAGATAATCTCATCCCTTTCATTCATCAGGCAATCCATCACAAGGATAGTGCTTGCCTTATTCTCACACGAATCCACAATGAATTTTCGGCAGGATAACGATATATCGCTTTGAGTTCAGTATCCATCCTCATGTCCACTTAATACTGTATATCTATTTTGTATCGCAAACTTAAAATGGTGCAAGAAGCCTGTGTATAGCCAGGCTATACAGTGAGCGCAGAGCTCACTATATATGTATGATAAGCTCTGCACCGCATCGTAAATCCATTTGGTTATGAATTGTGCTTCGTCTGGACCCCCAACGCTAAGCGACTAGTACAATGCCCCTCTTGACATGTATGCGTATCCTCTTCCGAAGTCGCGCTTACCAATGGGTTCGGCTCGAGCTAGTGACAAATATGGAGGTGGATGCCTAATCAGTTCCGGTGCAGCGATGGTGATAGCGCAGAGTTACACCTAGGAACAGGCCAACGGAATGGGGGCAAAGTGACTTCACTGCAACAGGTAGCGTGGCTGGTACGTTGGCACTGGGATCTACTCTGCCTCATAGTGTTGCCGCATCAAATTCTGCTGATTCACGTCGAGTCAGTTTTGCGAGGGCAACAAGGACAGCTTTATCAGTGTTCCTTCAACTCTGAGACGCTAAAAGGGTGACTGTGTATCGCCATTTGCAGTTTACGAACGTGCGGATGCGAAACGTCGCCTCAAGTTGACGTGATCGGTTACGTAATATTAGAAATGACCTTTTTATAAGTACGAAACACACCCATATAT